GGCGTGTCAGTGAATGATGAAATATTTTCATGAATTGAATTGATTGATCCTGCCATAAGAATTGCGTGAAACTTATGTCTGTTCCGTCTGTATCATCTCAGTGAGGTTTTATACATGCTCAGAAAGGCAAATGTAACGCTTTCAGACATTTCAGTGTGGATGATAAACTTTGGAAAAACACCTGGTTTGCGTCATGGTTAAAAAATGGCATCAACATCTGTTTGTGTCATAACGTCGTTTAAAAACTTTAGCCGCATAACCTGCTTTTAGCGACTTCCCCTGAAAATGTATTAATTTGCAACACGGCCTGCAATTGTTTGTTTGTTTGTTGTCATGTTTAGTCATCAAAAGCCGCAGGCGCAGGTGTGTCCTCTGACAGACACACTAGTGGCCGCTAGTGGAGGCAGCCTCGCGCTAGCATCTGCTACGAGAGCTGGAGGCCCAGCTGCATATGGCGCTGCGGCCGGAAGAGCCGCGGTGAAAGGCTGAGCCAAAGCGGGAAGCGAGTGAGTCTTTGCTGCGGTGAGAACTGGGACTCGGCCCAGGCTCATTGAAGGCCTGCTGCTGCTGCGACCCAGCGCTCGAGGAGAGCTGGGTCTTGTGCGGGAAGATGGTGGTCTCGAGCGAGGTGAGCTGGGGGCTTTGCACGGTCTATTGGCCGCCTTGGCGGCTGGAGTGGATTTAGGAGTGAGGTTGGCTAATTTGCAGGGTGACGAATAGCTCGTACAGATCTGCTTGTTTACCCTCCGCAAGAACGGTGCGTTGGAATTAATCAGCGTTTGCCTCGGGCTTAAATACTGTCCACTTTCCGATGGGAGGAGTTGCTGGTACAGTCGAATGATACAAGGATGCCGGGGAAGTTGGAAGTCTCGCCAGTGGAGGCAAGGTTAAGCCTTGGCGTCGTGGAGAGCGTGTGGCTGGTCGAGGAGAGCGGTGGCCGCGATGAAGCCTGGTGCTCGGCGGAGAATGAGTGATCATGGGGCCAGCAAATTGCGGCGGAGGATCTGAAAAATCCCCAGTATCTGTTTCGTCGTTGGACGGGAAAAATTGGGTCTGTGATAAAAGGCAAAGGAGCGAACCGAATGCTGAAATACTGTAGACAGAATGAAGGTAAGATGGCTTGGGCTATTTATAGAAGTTCTCTCTCGAGCTGATAGGATAGATGGTGTAATTGCTGATGATGAATTGGCCGGGTTAATTATATGAAGGTGCTCCTCCCGAACTTTGTTAATAAAACATCATTTCTCGTGGCCACGACTTCTTATGTTGAGGGAACTAAATATTTTTCTTTTGGCCACGAGTTTAATGCGTAAACAAACCTGCGTGACGATAGCAACCTAGGATCATCAGAGATTAATTTATTAATATTTTATTTTAGAATTAAGAAATTATTTATTTTTATTTAATTTACTCACAGCTGTGGTATTTCAGACTATAGTGGTGTATTGAATAATAAGTAAACAAACCATTCAGTCCTCTTGATTACATAAAACAAGTATGGTGTCGTATGTATGGTGTCTCTCTTTCATTTTTTTCTCAGAATGGCAATGTGGTAATATTTGTGAGTTACCACAGCAAATGCACAAGACACACCGTTTTCAGAGACAGGTCAAGGCTGATGTCAGATGGGACCAGACTGGTTAAGCACTGCTTGCTGATTCAGGATTTTCACTCCTTACAATATCTGTCTCTGCTAACAACTTCCTGGATGCTTATATAGTGATCAATAACCTCATCAATTTATATAGGGCTGCTTGGTCTCTTTCAGCAGTAGGAAGAATGAGATGATACTGCCAGCTGCAAACAAAACATGGGACTAAATCAACTGAATCATGTCCTCTGACAGACACACTGTTTCTGAAATAGTGATATATTTAGTGAAGCAGAGACATGGAATATAAGAAATACCATATAAAATATTCTTTTAAAGTGGCCCTATTGTGCTATTTCAAATATTGCCTTTCATGCAGTGTGTAATGTAGCTGTCTGTGAATGTAAACTATTTGCAAAGCTGTAAAGCCGACAGTGCATGGTAAATAAAGTTATTGTCTCTCATGAAATAGAATTGACTCTGAATCAGTCGTCAGGAATTCAAATCCCACTTCTGTGATGGCTACACGTCACAAGGTTCTACACCTATGTTCTACGTTGGCCAGCCAAGAACAACTTGACGCCGCCCTCAAACACAGTAGCATTTCCGTGTGGTTAACATCATGTCGAGTAGACGCTGTGCCCTATGCTGTGAAAGTAAATGTGTATTATTTTCACCTCTTGAATGATGATTCTGCAAAGAATCAGTGCTTGACATTCATTTTTTCAACGATACCACAGCAGTAAAATCCCAATCTTTTTTGATCAGAACGTGAATCAGAGCAGAGTAGGCTCATGGAAAGGAGGGGTTTAGAGAGACTGATTCTTTGAACTGCTTAGTACGAATCATTGAGAAATGCGGTGAAATTAAATGTATATTATAAGAAAACAAAAGTAATTTTTGACCTTGCATGCATGTAAACCTTTTGTAGGAGCCTCCCAAAACAATATTAGGAACCTTAAAAATGGCATAATAGGGGCACTTTAAATCCTTTTTATAAATACACAATTTAGAGGCTCATCACAGTTAGAAATGCTCGGAAAATGTATTGCTTTGTTTACTTTGTAATTGGATTTAGTCACTTCATGATTTACTCACTTGAAGTTGTTCTCAGGGAACATGCATATAATTTCATTTGAAAGTTTACTTCAGAATGTTTAAAAAAACCTTTGAGTCCAAAGTATCAGGACTTGAGGTAACTGATGCCACAAAATAACATTTATTATATTTCACTTTTTGACATGCATTATTATCTTTTGTTCTCCAAGTACAACCGATTAGGGATCAACATTAAATGATTAAATATTAAACCACCAATCCTAAATACATGGTTACATGTTGCTCTTAAAATGAAGAGACAATTTTATTTGTAACTTTAGTAATATTTTTATTTGAACTTTATACAATACAAATTGTGTCAGCTTCACAGTGATAAAAAGGAAAATAGTAAATTATGCAAACTCAAATATGGAGACAATTAGGATTCTGCTGTAAAGCAGCTCTGAAAAGAAAATAGTGTCATTATTTAACTCAATTATTTAACTAAAAAAACAAAACAATAAATGAATCAAAGTTAAGTGTCTTTTAGACCCTAACTAAGCAAACCATTTTTTTTCAGATTTATTTGAAACTAATAAATAACATCTCAGGTTACGACTGTAACCATGGTTCCCCTTCAGGAATTCAATCTGCGTCGAAATGCTTTGGGAACGCATCTGGGTGACCACGCTCTGAATCACGTGTGTCGCGTTATGTCACCGGCGGGGATAACATAGCGACCAGGAAGTATAAAAGTGGTGGAGACAGCAGCAGCTTCTGTTGTTCAGTAAGAGCTCTATGTGTGTGAGTCTTATTGTTGTCTATAAAAAAGTTTCAAAATGGCAAGCAAACACAAGTCTGACAAGCAATCATTCAGACTGTGTGTTCCTCCCTGCCCGCGCTTCATTACGGGTGGGGATACACACAGTTTGTATGTTGCTTGTCTGGGAGCGGAGCACGCTCGGTCAGCTCTCGAGGGAGCTGACTGTCCGCATTGTGTTCGCCTCACGATGCGGACGCTCCGCTCCAGGAGAGTGCTCTTTGAGGAGGGCGCTCTCTCTCGCATTCCTCGCGGTTCGGGTCCCGCATCTGCCGAGGCAGAGTGGCGACTCAGATCATGGGGTTCGCAAACGGATGTGGCAGAGGGAATAGAGACGGGCAGGTCCCTTTCTCTTTTCTCACCTGCCAGATCCAGTGCTCTCTCTCAGGGAACGGAAGCACGTTCTGAAACAGTTTCTTCCGCCCCGGGAGAGGGCTCGGTGCTCCACTTCTCTTCCTCCGAAGAGGAAGATGAGGAGGGTACTGACAGAGATGAGTCTGTGGACTTGCCACCACAGTCCGTCCTGTTTGAGGAGCTGTTGGAGGTGGTGACTAGAGCTGTGGCCAAGTTAAACATCGACTGGCCAGCTAAAGTGCAGGAAGAGTGTCCTAAAAGCAAGCTCGACGAACAATTCCTGCATTCTAAGTCACTACCTTAGTCACTGCCGTTCTTTCCCGATCTGCACACCGAGGCGTCTAAATCGTGGAATAAATCATTCTCGGCCCGCCTTTTTAGTCCTAATGTGTCTCACTATGCTAATGTGGTAGGACTTAAAGAGCGCGGTTATGGGATGATTCCCCGGGTTGAAGAGACACTTGGTGGCTATCTCTCGCCCGGTGGTGCATCGTCCCTCAAGGCCCCGGTGTTACCCACCAAGCCGCTTAGAACTTAGTACACGGCAGCGGGTCAGGCTGGCGCTTGCCTGCACACCATGTCGGTGTTGCCGGCATATCAGGCTGACCTGCTAAAAGAGATGGATGAGGAAGAAGAGATTAAGAACGGCGATATTGCAGAGCTACGTCGGGCCACAGATTTGTCACTTCGCGCCACCAGGGAGACCGCCAGAACTATTGGGCGGTCCATGGCAGCCCGAAAGACACCTGTGGCTGACCCTGTCCAATATTAAAGAAAAGGACAGGGTCTTTCTCCTGGACGCCCGCTAGTGCCTTCTGGACTGTTCGGCGACGCTGTAAATACAGTCTTCGACAGATTCCAGGAGGCCAAGAAACAAGCGGAGGCGTTCCAGCAATTTCTCCCTTGCCGCTCTGACGTGAGGACGTCAGGACTTTTGAGGGCAGGCCCCTCTGGGGAAGAGCGGTTCACACCTCAGAATACGGTGCCCGTCTCTCCACAGAGCCCTCAGGAGATCGTCTTGTTAACCCTGCCACCCCTGGTGCTTCAGGGCACAGCGGTCTCCAGCGAGTGCAGCTCTCAGCTTCCGCCCGGAAATGTAGCGGTTCTGGGAGGCTCACTACCTCCAAGGAGGTCTCTAGAGCAGCTAGATCGGTCGTTCCCTGCCAGTCCTCCACTTCAGGGCCATTCTAAATACACCAGAGGCCAGTCTCGAGAGACTGGTTCCCTTAGTAGATCATCTGGCAGCGTGGAAGCTTCTGCCAAATGTGTCACAATGTGTCCTGTGCATTGTACAAAGAGGTCACAAGATTCAGTTTGGGTCTCGCCCACCTCTATTCAACGGGGTATTTCCCACTCAGGTGGGTCCCAAGCAGGCTCTGGTCATGGAACAAGAAGTGGACACTCTCTTGAGGAAGGAGGACATCGAGGTGGTCCCTCCTCGCAACAGAGAGTCAATGCCAACACTTTTTGGCCTGCTGTACATGAGACCCTTGCAGTGGTGGCTCAGGACCAAAGGGTTTTCCCCGAGGGGCAACCCATTTCACATGATCAAGGTCACGCGGCTAGGCTTACGGGTCTTAGACCTGTGGAAGAAACCTTGGTTCCTGTCACAAGGTCCCGTGTCTTACATCAACCGGCAGGGGGGTCTGCATTCACGCCCCCTATACAGGCTGGCACGCCAGATCCTTCTGTGGGCCCAGGGGAAACTGCTCTCCCTGAGGGCAGTGTACATCTCTGGGCACCTCAATCAGGGAGCAGACATCCTGTCGAGGGAGGGGCTGAGGCCCGGCAAATGGAAGCTCCACACCGAGCTGGTGGAACAGATTTGGAAGAAGTTTGGGCAAGCCCAGGTGGACTTGTTTGCATCTCGAGAGACCTCACAATGTCCCCTGTGGTTCTCCCTCACACACCCAGCCCCGCTTGGGCTGGATGCCATATTACAGATGTGGCCGAGGCTTCATCTGTATGCCTTCCCCCCGATTGCTCTGCTCCCGGGAGTTCTGGAGAGAGTTCGCCGGGATGGGGTTCATGTCCTATTACAGTTTTTCTCGATTGCTAAAACACTATAACCAGGCTTTTGAACTAAAATTTCAAAACCATAACGCCATTTTTCAAAAAGCACACCCATTTTGCTGAACTATAAACACTATTCCCCTGCTTTAACACATGAGTCAGAT